ATGAAATCAAAGAGTTGAGGTTCTAACAATATTTTAATACATATAAAAGAGAATCTCTAACCACTAAATAAAGTACACTGTTTCATGTACTTTATTTAATCAACTTGTATTTTACTAGCTGATATGTGTGCCACACTGTGGGAGGTACTGCATTAACTAAGCCGTGGTCACAGTCATGGAGAGAGGTGCATAGATTCCCAGTTCCCTCAAAAACTTAAATCATGGTATACTTCTTCTTTCCTGGCCTAATATTCAGAAGATGATTAAGTGGCAGAATTAGAATCTCTTCTCTCTCTAATGTAGCAGCTTGTCAGATATCTGAATTTTCAGTAGAAACCACCTGTATTTTACTGTGCAGATTCCCAATAGTGTCAGAGAACTCAACTGTTGTCCTAAGCTAACCATCAAATGAGGGAAGACTAAATCCGTGTTTACTTCTTGAGAGAGGTTAGATCGCTAACCGAAAGGGGATCTGCTGCTATGGATTCACTTTGGTTTTAATTTAACTGGAGGGAAACTGTATAAATTGATCACAGAGGATGGTATTTTATTTCTGAATGCAGTCATGTAAAAATCAATGTACATATAAACGTGGCAGTCCATTTCAACTGTGTCTTGGAATCCTGGCTTTTCTTTCACCTCCTAGATTGAGTTTTCTTTCATTAGATCAGCGCTTTGGAAACCTTGAGGGGAAAAAAAAAAGAAAGGAGTGAAAGTTTGGACTCTGATTAAATCTTATGGAACTTGAAAAATTCCAAGTCTTTGTTTCTTTGGTCATTGCAATGCAACAGGAGCAGCAGCTGAGTGATTATAAGAAAATAAATGCACCAATAAATTGGTCAGATACTACCACCATCATTAAAACCTGAGCATTTATTCTGAGAACTCAACAAAATCCATGAAATCCATGTAAGAAAATGCTTCTGAAAATTGAATGACTATTGACCACTGGAACTTTACAAAAAGCAACCAGGGAAACTTCTGTAAATGTACAAGGCTTTTAAATTAGCTCTAAAATAATGAACATCAATTTTCAACCTTTTTGGACTATTTTATATCAAAAAAGTGATGAATATTGCAATATCACTTTTTACTCTGGTTAAAAAAAATATTATTCTCTGTAGACATTACAACATAAAACAAAAATGCTTTTATTACCAGTAGCAATGATGTGACAAGCTTGATAAATGCAAGTTTAAAATTCCTTTGGGTTTTGGCATCCCCTCACACTTATTTTCAAGTCACTAACAGATTCTGCAGGTTTGACTAACCATCATTTAAGAGTGTCATTTAGTCTGAAATGACAAAAAGTAAAATGTTCTTAAAGGTCTAATTTTTCTCTTTTTCCTAAATGAGTTGCTAATGACAAAGAGTAATATCTTTTATTCATGTTGTCTGAGTGAAGAAATGGTCATTGCCAAATGATGAATATCAAACAGAGATGCTTTCACTTAACACTCATGAAAAAACTGTAACAGAAACCTGACAACCCTGTTTTCTTTTGTTTTGTGTTGTATTTTTAAGAGATTTGGATTGGCAGGTAAATTTTTCCAATTAAATGAACCTTAAATATCCCCCATGTAAAACCTGGATGACTTAAATTAAGCCAACTACAAATGGGTTGGCTTATAGGCTAATTAGTGCATTGAAAACCAAAGAATGGCTCTAATGTTATTTCTTCAACTAGGGAGGTTTCTGAAGTAGTGGCAGTTGTGAAACTAGATGTAAATAATTAATGACAAAACAACTCATGACTTTCCAAGCAGAATTTTCTTTGAAAGCTATGTGATCATATTTGAAACACCACATAATAGCCACATTAGGGATCCCTAGGCTGGTGAATTTTGAAATGCAAATAACCAGCTCAGATCCCTCTGGGTGTCTCAGAGTTTGAAATTTAACTCGTAGTTTGCCATTTGGTGAAACATGACTTTTCGTTTGTCTTTATAAATAGTCCAAAGAAACATTAGGCATCTCGAAGACTGTATAAAGTAATCCTTAACGATTGTTCAAATTTTTCATTTCCCCATTTAATTCATTTTCAAAAAAATTTTGTTTCCATTGTATGCTAACTATGATGCTACACATGGGAACAATGGTAAACAAGACAGATAGGTCACCTTTCCTAGAGAAACTATGCCAAAGGGGTTTAAAATAACAAAAAATAAATAAGCCAGAGTCACACAGTGAGAGGCTGGATGAAAAGGATAGGAGGATAGGATGTTACTTTGGATAGGAGGGCCAGAAAAGGAATTTATTTATGTCTGTGAGCTGTGATAATCGAAGTGTGTTCCCAGTACCAGTAGCATCTGCATCACCTGAGATCATGATGGAAATACATGTTTTTGAGTCCTACCTGTGACATACTGAATTAGCAACTCTAGAGAGAGGCCAGCTGTCTGGTTTTAACATGCAACTCCTCCCCCACCAGGCACACACATAACTGTGATGCACTCTTGAAATTTGGGTAGACCTAACAATCTCATTTGAACAAACGTTCTCTAAGTAAGTCTGATACATCATTGTACTCTGAAGTTCTAGTGAGGCTACCATTTTTATTCTACCTTCTTTTGACCACATGCCTCTTTCCCACACCACGCCTAATTGCCCATTTCTTTGTTCTTCTTTACAGCAAAATCCTCAAAGAGTTTAATTTCTTTTTGAATAATCTCTCTTAATCCTTCTTCAGTTAAGTTTACATCTATATTACTACATCGAAACTGCGCATGCCAAAGTTGCAATTGAACTCACATTGCTAAATTCAAAAGATTTCAGTCTTCATTTTACTTGAGTTATTCACAGTGTTTGAACAAATTGACCTACCTTCCTTCTTGAAGCACTTTCTTTCTTGGTTTTCTCTTTCTTTCCTAAAGTATCCATCCTGTTAGCTATTTTTCTCTTCCCCACCTGTAAACATTGCCACACTTCAGAGATTAGACCTTGAGCCTCTCAGCTACTCTGTCTATACTAAGTGGTTGCATTTAGTTTCACGGGTTTAGCTACCATCTATATGCTTCCAATCTCCAGACTTAGACCTCCACCATTGACTTTTCCCAAAACTTCATATTCCCATTTGTCTGTGGATGTTTAATTGGCATCCTAAACTTAATGAGACCGTAATAGAACTTCTGATTCCTTCCCTGCAACCTGCTTCCCCATCTCAAAAAATGACAACTCTACCTTTTCTGAACAAGTCTGGCCCCAAATCTTGGAGTCATCCTTGACTCTTTCTTATTTTTTACCCAAAGTCTAACCTTTCATTATATCCTCCCTATTGACATTGCCTTTAAAATAAATCTAGAATATAGGTCAGGCATAGTGGTTCATGCCTGCAATCCCAGAACTTTGGCAATCTGAGGTGGGCAGATGACCTGAGATCAGGAGTTCGAGACCAGCCTGGACAACATAGTGAAACCCTGTCTCTACTAAAAAAATACAAAAATTAGCCAGGAGTGGTAGCACACTCCTATAATCCCAGCTACTCAGGAGGCTGAGGCATGAGAGTTGCTTGAATCCAGAAGGCAGAAGTCGTATTGAGCTAAGACCGTGCCATGGCACTGGGTGACAGCAGAATTCTGTGTCAAAATAAAATAAAATAAAATAAAACATATCTAGAATCCAAATAGTTACCACCACTACCACCACTACCACCATTCTAATCCAAGGCACAATACTGTCTCACATGGATTATTGCTCTAGCATCCTAAGGCATATTCCTGATCCCACATTCCTCCCTATAGTCTATTTTTTAGCACCAGGTATTGTCATCCATCTTACTCAAACAAAAAGCTAGTGTTTTCACCATAAACCACAAAAGCCAACATAGCCTAGACCCTTTAACCTCTCTGAGCTTCTCTTCTAGTACCCTCTCCCTCATTCCCCTCACTCTATTCACACTGGCATCCTAGCTTTCCTCAAACAGGCATGCTGCTGCCTCGGGACCTTCATATTTGCTGTTCCAACTGCCTAGAGTGCTTCCCCCACCACCCGTTTCATGACTTATCTATGACTCCCTTCAATGTCAGCCCAAATGTCTTCTCAGCACTGGCATATGCCCTGTTTCACTTTTCGCCGTAAAATATATTACCCTCTGTAACCCTCTGTATTTACTTAGACATTCATTTATCTGTATCTCCTCACTAAAATTATGAGCACAGACTGTCTTGTTCCCTGCTTTATCTTTAGTTTCTAGAATACTGCCTGGTGCATAATAGGTTTTTAAATAAATATTTGTTTAAAAAAGTTAAGGTAATACTTCAGGTTCTCAGATCAAATATCTACCACATCAGGGTAGATCAACCCATCCAAAACACCCTTCCACAACCCTACTCTCTAGCCTATAACCGTGTTTATTTCTGTATTGCAATTGTGAGGAAATGTGCTGTCTTCTTTAGTGTTTTATTTATTTATTCATATTGTCTCCCTCCCAAAGACACTAGGTTATATGCCCCATGGGGGCTAAGACCTCATCTATCCTCCTAGTGCTTAGCATAGCACCTAACGCAGTGGTGAATTTCAAATATTTTCTAGTACAAGTGTGTACGAAATAAGATACTTCTCCATGGTCTCTTGATATTATCTTATTAAATCTTCATATTCAATCTTTGAGGGCAATGGTGTCATCTCTCTTCTATTTATGAGAATACCAGAGCTCAGCAAAGCTACTATCTTGTGCAAAGTCACTTAGAGAGCAAATTACAAAACCCAAGTCAAACGCTAAGTCCACTCTCATTCCATTGCATTGCTTTATAGGGAAACCACCGGAAGGTTTCCTTTGACATAATATTCTAATTTGATGAAAAAGATATTTGGACTAATATGTCGATCATCAATAATGTTTTTAAGGCCACCCCTCTCTATTAGTTTACTGCTACTTTAAAAGATGAATTTAATATTTTAACCCAAATGAATAATAAAGAAATTTAGACCTACAGAAGAAAAATGTTTGGAGAAACGTAGCCTTTATTTTTTTTAATGACTTCAGAGTCCTGGCTGATTTTTTGTACCACATCTAGAGAATGATGATGTAGTGGAGGGAATATTCAGAATCCAGGTCTGTCATGAATCACACTTCAGAATAATGTAATCACCTCCCTGAGTGACCATTTTCTCACCTAAAAAGTGAAGATAATGCCTATTTCAGAGAACTGAAGAAATAAGAGCAGTTGCAATAAGTGTGCCAAACTGTTGTCACCTCAACGTCCTTGTCATCCCCTTGCAAAGAAGTCAGAACCATAATTTCCAGAATTTTCTTCATGGACCATCTCCAGATTCGATTCTGCCAGAGAAAAGTACTTGTATAAGATTTTGAAAGCAGAAGGGAGAATTAGGCCATTATCACAAAGAGTCATCGCAGCACAAGAAACCTTAGCAGTGGTTCAGGGGGCATCTATATGTATCCCCCACTTCAGTGCTGTGGACACCTGCGGTGGTGGGAGGTGTCTGCTGGAGACTTCTTCCCTTAGAAGGCAGGCTGAACAACTCAGTAGAGATTCCTGCAACATCCTGGAGTTCTTGAGACTTATAGCAGTTTTCACTGGGTGTCTAGACCCAGCCAGTTCAAGGCTGCTGACTGAGATGATTAGAAATAACTTTCCTGACCATTGACCTTTGCTACCACATCCTCCCCCAAATTGCATAAGCTTCTATTTCCCTAAATTAAGTCTTTATACTTGGAACACTTTAAGTGGCTTCTGTGTATTTGATGAAACCCGAATCATAAATAATGGTAACAGCTTATACATATTAAATACTGCCAATTGGCCAGGCATAGTGCACCTTCATATTGCATTGCCCTGTGAATAATACATATTATTAGCTCCATTTAGTTGATGAGGAAACAGAGGCTTATAGAGGTACTTGCTCTCAGTCACACAATTTATGAGCACCAAATAGGGATTATATAAGAAAGTACATAAGAAACTGAAAAGCTTGATATTGATGGAAGATATGCAGCTATATATTCTTTCCTGGTAGAATTTCCCACAAGAGTGAAAATAATTCTCTCTTTTTTCAGTGACGAAGTCCTCAATGTTCTCTATTCTAACTCTTCTCAATCTGGCACCATTAACATTTTGGGCCTGGTTCATTCTTTGCTGTGTGGGGTGTAGGTAGGGGTCGGGGAACGGGTAGTGGCTACCCTGTACATGGTAAAATGGTGACCAGAATCCCTGGGCTGTACCCATGAAATACCAGAAACAGTCCCCATGGGTATGACAACAAAGTGCCTCTGGCACTGCCAAATGATCCCAGGGGTGTGGGATGGCAAAATATCCCCCAACTCTGCCCCCATGAGAATCACTGAGTTGTAATCTCCCTGCTTGGGGTCTAGACTTGTAATGGCCACAGATCCAGCCTCCCCTGAGACACCCTATCCTAGGTTTCAGTGCTCCCTAGCAGTAAACAGTTCTTGCAGGGAAGCACATGCTTTTGCAAAACCTAAAAATAGAAAGATGCAAACTTTTGTGTGTAGTATGATATCATTTGATTTAAAATACATAAAAACCTACCTACAGCAAAATATATAAAAATATTCATACCACCCTGTTCGCGTTTGTTACCTCAAGGATGTGGGCAGTACAAAAGAGGATGAGCTTTTTTTGTGTTTCTGCTGTGGTTTAACATATTAGAATGAACATAATTTACTTTTTAAATATTTTTATCCATGACAATTAAACATGCAGTAAATAGTAGAGCATCTAGCATGTGCAGATCCTTAGCTAGACACAGTAAAAGGTCAAAATGAGGCACTTAAAGTCCCTTCAAAAGCCACCAATCCTTTCTGCAAAGCTCAAGAGGTTTGAAAATCTGAGTGGTTGTGTATTTCATGAATAGGCACCCAAGGTTATGGACTTAAAGTAAAGCATCAAGCAAGAAACTAATTCTGGGTGCATCATTTCCTTGCATCCCAGGCACCACCAATCAACGCCTTTCTTGATTACCTTGTACCCCACCCTGACGGTTACTGAGTGCTAAATCACAGGCAACAGGACCTTCGTTCTCCACCTCCAAAGAGTGGACAATTTCCTCTCCTCACTTACTCCAGCCGTCTTCTCCACTCCACAAAGAGTGGGATAAGTTCTACCCCAATAGAAAGCAAAACGAAATGTAAATATGTATGTTCCCTCATTGAATTAACAACATCAGGCACTAGGGTTGTAAGTTCTTTGTATTAATATTACTCAACTCCAGAGGCTTGTAGACACCCAGTAGCACAATGTCTCTCAAACTAATTGAATAAAAATCACCTGACATCCACACCAGACAAACTAACTCTGAATATGGGAGTGGGGGGCAGTGGTGGTGGAGAAATCTGATTTTTAATAACTGCTCAGGGAGATATTTTTTTGCACAGAAAGTATAATATCGTCTATACAGTATTCAATCAATAAATATTTTTTAGTCATTTTGAATTGATTCAGATGAAAAGCCAGTGAATCTTTCTTTGAATGCTAAAGTATAAAGAGATGTTGAGTAGAAAAACTCCCAAGTTTTCAAGCGAGGCATTTTCCTTTTACAAACCTCTGTGATTTGGGTAAAAGCAGAGCAGCTTTAAAATTAAAGAGTAGTTTAAAAATCCTTTAGAAATGGATATGACTTTCATCAAGGCAAATGGCCTCACATTCTCGCAGACTTTGGAATTTAAGTCTAACATCTGGGCAAACTATTAGTCAACTCTATTCCTCTGAGAAGTGTTTGAGAGCAAATGATTATTAAAAACATCACCAGAAGGTCATTTTATCACCTTCCTAATTTCATTTTAGAGGATCTAAATTTCCTTCCACCGGGATGTTTGCCTGGAGCAATCAAATCATCTCCGTGCCAGCCAGGTGAAGGGGACTGATACGCGAACATACTTCTAACAGCATCTGAGCTTTCAAGTTTTAAGTCACTGAAAGTTTCAAGCCATGTTCTAACTCAAAAAGGATGTGCTACAAATTATGACATGCAAAGGAGAAACAGGAGTATATCTTTAAACAAACTCGAAAAGGAAGATAGCTATAACAAATGAAAAGGATATTTTACCAAACAACAAACAGGAGGAAATAGGTTTAAAATGGTAAATAAACATTAATTAGTCTTTATAAGAAGGTTGTTAAATTAAATTCATACCAAAAGGATGAAATTTGGAGGAAAGGGTACACTAAAGGCTTAATTTTAAATTATAAATTTTCATCTAAAGAACAAATTGTCTTAAAGGCTCCATTTTATTACTCAGCACTGTTTTTACTTTATGGAATATTTTGCATTATATTTTAATTAAAGTTATAATTACAGAACTAAATATAATTAGCTTCTTTCTTCAAAAGAAATTGGAAGTGAACTTACTTTATTAAATTTTCAATTTGTTTCTTGCAGTGTTACATAGTTTATTCTAATTAATTGAAGGAGAGCTCATAAATATTTTATCAACATGGGGATGTGATTAAAAACTCAAGAATTTTTCCCTTACTTTTTAATTTTATGCCCCCTAATTTTGGGCTCATGCTCAAATGTATACAGATGTGGCAGAAGGTGGAAGCCCCTCATGGTCTCTCTTAACCTGATGCTTTGCCTCCAGGTTGGTTGAAACATTTATTCCTTCAGATTCTTTCTTTTTGGGTTACCATTTTGCAGTGTTCCCAAAGAAAGGCAATCATCAGGCTTTATACATCTTTCCAGAATGGATACAAAAATGGACACCATATGTTCCCACCTGATACATTTCTGCTTATCTCATTGCCTTCTTCCCAACCTCAGTGCTTCACAAGGACAGGTATTTTATGTGTGTCATTGGCTTTCCACGCACAACACAACAAACAGCATGCAGAACAGAGTAGGTGCTCAATGCATGTCTGTTGAGTCAAAGAATGGACACATTTCCAATATTTGTCCCCATGAAGACTAGTTCTGAGTGATGTTTATAGTAAATATTCATTCAAAAAATTCCTTGTCAGGGGTTTAAGATCACTGACTATAGACACTGGACATCTGTTCTCCATAGAAAGAACAAAAATAGTGAATAATCATACCTCAAGTAGAATATCAAGGAGGGAACACTAGTACCCAATGCGGGGCTCACAGGAAATACCTGAAGCACAGAAAAGGAAGAGAGAGGCCAACTCGGTCATGATCAGCTAGAAGCCTGGAGGGACTCAGTATTGGAGGTTAAAATGAGTGGAAGTGTTTTGGTAGCTCTCATCCTTGCGGCAGACTTCTGGGATCGGAACTATGGGAGAGCTCCTCTGTCCTCCTGACTGCACTAGTATGGGTGGTAATTTGGAAAATGCTTGAGAGCATTGCAGCAGGCTATAAACTCATACTGGGTCACTCACCCTACACCCAGACTCAGTGGCTGCAGCACTTTGCCACTGTGACAGTACACTTGTCGGGGACTGTACTCTGCTCTGGGAACCTCGACTCTGGTATCTTCATATCCCAGGAGCTCCTTCTGACATTCCCCATTGCCCAGCAGGAGAGCTACAGCAACACTGTTAGCTGGACCTAAAGGAGCTGCAGGGCTCCCAGCACTGTAGACCTCAGGGAGGGCTATTTCTGGGAGAAAAAAGAGTACTGCATGCCAAAAAGGGTAGCCTCTGGGATAAAGAAAACCAATGGACTTCCTAGAACCCAAGAGCTCCCTGCATGGGGCTGTGAAAGTGACCCCACTTCCAGCAGGGGCACAAATTCTGTGCTCAGTTCTGCAAAGAGTGAAATTTCCTCCCGCCAGCTGAGCAGCCTCTGTGCTACAGCCCAGGCATGGAGAAGGAGACCCCCGTTTCTCCTCCACACAGCACTCCAGTCACACCCACTGCTACAGCCACAGGAAGTTGGCACAACCTAGCCAGAGGGTTGCCTCTCTCAGGCTGTGAGTGATGACTGCAGCCCCACTGGTGAAATAGTCTCTTAGCTTGGACTTAAAGGAAAGGAAAGGCCTCCTGCCCCTACTAGGCAGTCCACTAGGCGGTCATCTAGTGCTGCTGCTCCAAAGAGCAGGAGAGCCTGAGAGCTCCCTGTTTAGGGCAGTGAAAAATGTCTCTGCCTTTAGCAGTCATGCAAATTCTATGCTGGGCTTTGCAGGTAAAAAGTGAAGTCTCCCACCACTGGCCAAGCAATGTCTGCTCACTCTACCTCCTGAGTAGAGAATAAGATCCCTCCTCCTGCTCTGCATACTTCTGCAGGAACAGCCACTGCTGCTGCTCAAGGAGGCTGGGGTGGATGAGCTAGAGCATGGCCTATCTGGGACTCAGGGACAACTATGACCCCACTGGCAGTGTGGCCTCAGCCCAGGATTGCACA